TCTGAGGTGGAGTCTCACTCTGTCGCCCAGGCTGGAGTGCAGTGGTGCAATCTTGGCTCACTGCAACCTCCACCTCCCAGGTTCAAGCAATTCTCCTGCCTCAGTCTCCCAAGTAGCTGGGATTACAGGCATGTATCACCACACCCACATAATTTTTGTATTTTTAGTAGAGACAGGGTTTCATCATGTTGGTCAGGCTGGTCTTGAACTCCTGACCTCAGGTGATCCAACCACTTTGGCCTCCCAAAGTGCTGGGATTATAGGCGTGAGCCATCTTGCTAGGCCTCCTAATGCCTTAATCATTGTTAGGATTAGGCCGTTCCTCTTCCCCTTCCAGGAGCATTTTGATTCCCATTTTTCCCCAGCATCCTTTCTGTTCCTGCCCACTCACCATCCTGAAATTAGGAAGAGCTGGGGCTCCCTATATTCAAAGTAACAGTACAGATACTTACTTAAAATAAAACACCCACTATAGCAAAGTTGGGGGTACAGAGGGTGAGGAAGGAGAACTGTTTGTTTTGTTTTGTTTTGTTTTGAGACAGAGTCTTGCTCTGTTGCCCAGGCTGGAGTGCAATGGCGTGTTCTTGGCTCACTGCAACCTCTTGGCTCAGGTTCAAGTGATTTTCCTGCCTCAGCCTCCCCAGTAGCTGGGATTACAGGCACCTGCTGTCACATCCTGCTAATTTTTGTATTTTTAGTAGAGACAGGGTTTCACCATGTTGGCCATGCTGGTCTTGAACTCCTGACCTCAGGTGATCCACCCACCTCGGCCTCCCAAAGTGCTGGGATTACGGGCGTGAGCCGCTGCATCCAGCCAGAACTGTTTTTATGTTAAAAACAGATAAGGTCAGCCACAGAAAAGGGTAACAGCTGAATGGACCAAAAGGACTAGGTGATAAGTATTTTCTGGATGAAGATGAGATTTTGTTTTCATGAAAAATCGTCCCAAAGGGAAAATGCTCTCCAGGTTAGATATGCCCCCTCTGCATGGCTTTATTCTCCTGAAGGGTGATGACCCTCTTTTCTGAAACCCTCTGCTCAAGGTGCATTTGGAGGGCAGGGACCAGCTCCCCCGGGAGATTTAGCAGCTCCAGGGCCCTGCCGCGCAGCTGCCACTTACTTCTTCATGACGAGGAACAGCGTCCGGCCATGGCCCAGGCCTTCAGGGTGGAGACGTGGGGGCAGCACATCAGGGTAGTCGACCAGGGCCCCTGGCAGCAGTGGTACAGAAGAGGTGAAGGCGCGGAGAACCCGGATGATGTTAGGGTGAGGGGCTAGTTGCTTAGGACCTCTCTTGGATTTTCTATTCAGCCAAGTGAGACAAACATATAAGGCCAGCATCAGATATAACACCTGGAAAGACAATAACCTAAGGCCACACCAACACTGGCACTGACATTCATTATTCACTTACTATCAAATGTTTAGCATAGATTTGCTATGTGCCAGGTACTGTACATGGTGCTGGGGAACACATCTGATGACTCCCCTATCTATCCTTCAGTCTGTCTGTCCACCCATCCATCTGTCCACCTATCCCTCCTATCCTTCCCATGTGGTAGAACACAGGTGGAGAAACAGAAACCCTGGAATCAACTGCCTGGGTTTGAATTCCAGGCCTGCCACTCTAAGTGCTTGGCTGAGTTACAGTAGCCCCAACCATATCCACAGTTTCGCTTTCTGCAATTTCAGTTATCTGCAGTCTGAGAATAGGTGAGTACAGTACAAGAAGATATTTAGAGAGAGGAGAGAGAGAGAGACCACATTCACATAACTTTTATTACAGTATGTCCTAATTATTTTATTATCACCTTTTTTATTGTACCTAATTTATAAATTAAACTTCACCATAGGTATGTATGTATAGGAAAAAACACTCAGTATATGTAGGCTTTGTTATTATCTGTGGCTTCAGGCATCCACTGGGGTCTGTCTTGGAATGTATTCTCTCTGTCCTTATCTTCTCTGAGCTCAATCTCCAGGGCACAAGGGGAATGAGGTGTTAACACGCTGCATAAGGTTGTCAATGTGTGGAAGGCACCTAAAATCCTGCCTAGCACAGAGGAAGCTCTCAGCTGATATCAGCCGTACTATTATTCATTTAACCAGTATGTATTGTTTTCACGCTAAGTACCAGATGTCATGCTGGTATGCTGTGGCACTATGGCACAGAACAAGACAGAGTCCTGTTCTCATGGATTTGCAATCTTAAGACGGGAGGGAGACATTCATCGGTAAGTCATCATGTGAGCTCCCTAAGAACAAGACCATGCCTGAATTTTAATTCCAAGTCTAGTATAGTTGGCATGGAATATGGGTTTTGTTGAATGAGTAGATCCAGATGCAGTTGGTAGTGGTGGTGTCACCTGCCTGCCCTGCCCACTTCTCCTCTGGGAGGCCCCCTCCCCGTAGACACACAGCCCTGCTGAGGCACAGTGGCTGGATTTTGGATGGGGTGGCTCTGCCAGCTGTATGCCAGCCCTGCCCTTCAGCCATAGCTGACTGGGCCAAAGGGTCACCTGCCCCAAGGGCAGTGAGCCAGTGACACTCGAGACCCAGATGGCTAGACAAAGGGAAAGGGAGAAGGTAGATTCTCTCTTTGAGAGTGTGAGTGAAGAAATCTGCCAGTCTGCAGTGGAGAAGAAGTCAAGAGACTTCACTGGGGTCATGAGGAGCCAGAGGTGAGCAGGCCAAAGGGATGCAGGAACAGGAGACGCAAGGAAGAAACAGGATGCAGACAGTGGAACCGTGTTCCCATGAGTTCAAGAAATCAGTAACTAACAGAAATTCTTGTGGCTCACTCCTGTAATCCCAGCACTGAGAGGCTGAGGCAGGTGATCACTTGAGCCAAGAAGTTCAAGGCCAGCCTGGGCAACATGGAGAAACCCTGTCTCTACAAAAAATATAAAAACTAGGCTGAGCTCTGTGGCTCACCTGAGGTCAGGAGTTCGAGACCAGCCTGGCCAACATGGTGAAACTCCATCTCTACTAATAATACAAAAAAATTAGGCGTGGTGGCACATGCCTGTAATCTCAGCTACTTAGGAGGCTGAGGCAGGAGAACCGCTTGAATCTGGGAGGCAGAGGTTGCAGTGAGCTGAGATCACACTCTAGCTTGGGCGACAAGTGAAAAATCCGTTTCAAAAACAAACAAACAAAACCAAAAATTAGCTGGGCACGGTGGCATGTGCCTGCAGACCCAGCTACTTGGGAGGCTGAGGAGGGAGAATCACTTGAGCCCAGGGAGTCTGAGGCTGCAGTGAGCCAAGATCACGCCACTGCACTCCAGCCTGGGCAACAGAGTGAGACCCTGTCTCAGAAAAAAAGAAAAGAAAACCTGAGTTTGCAGAAACCACTTTCTGAAAGGCTGAACTCCCTCTGCTTGTGAGATAAAAGAACTGGCTGAAATCGGTCGGAACCAAAAAGGCCAACTGCAGCTTGCACAGAACAAGTTTGCTGACGTCACGGCCTGAACTGCCGCCGCACGTTTCATACTCACTCCTCCCACATCTGCACAGGGGACCCATGAGGTGGCATGAAGAGATAACTGCACATGTCCAACGACTGCAGACTTCTTTTCTTCCACCAATCACTTGCTAATCTTAGAATCCACCCCTTAAACCTTTTCTAATAAAATTACTGCC